CACCCAAGATAGTATTAATAAAATGCCTATATCTCCTCAACTAAGCCACATTACACACAATCGGTGCATGGATAAATAATCTCAATGCATGGATAATTTACTCCTTATTGATCAACATTCATTTCTTTGTCGAAAGTAATCAGAATATTGAAGATAGTAGCATTGTTAGTATTGACTGGTAATATTGTTATGATAAGAATAATTCATAGTGTATAGATGTAGAATTTGGATTGATGTGAAGGAGAAGAAATGTTTAAACGATTGATTTTATTCGATATTTAATCATACTATATATTGAATTGTAGTGATTGATATGAAGACGTTGTTTTCGGCAGCAGACGTTTTTCATGATGATTGATGGATGGATTGCGTGTTTGCTGAGGTGATGATGCACCTTAACGCTGTCGTATCACTCGATTTTTCAGATCTATTTCGCAGGTGAAGGAATTTGAAGTGTTGTGTATTTTATAGATTGGGTCCAATAGGGAGCAGTTGATGAATGTCGATTCGAATCTACCAACTTTATCGACTGTTCGTTCATTCGATCAATCGATGTTCACCTGTGCTAAAGGTGCCTCTTAAGCATATTAAATGCGCTGTAATGACGTTTGAAGAGTTGAACGCAATTTTTTATCAAAAAATAGTAATGAGTCAGTTGGTGAGAGTTTGGAGGATGTTTTGAGAAACTTCTTTAATCAGTGTTTTCAGAGTTTAGAACGCTGTTATCAGTTTCATCGTTATCATTTTTGACTTGATGCTGTTGTGGTCATATTATGATAAGATTTTCTCTCCAAATAGTACCTCAATAGGATTGAGGTAAGCAATGATCATTTCGGTGATAATCATTCTTTTTCGTATCGTTCTTAAGGTGTTTTGAGCGAAATCAAGATTGTGATAGCAATATTCGGTGTTTCCGTCGTTTTGTACATGAGCATTGTTGTTACGTTGTTGTTTGGTTTGTATCCAATGTGCATGGTGAACAAAAGAAATTTTCAAATGTTATCATTTAACACAGGAAGAACTTTATGTTTACAGATGCGATTTTGATTGTTTATTCTTCCATTTATCATTACTAATAACTGCTGCTGCTTATCTATGGTGCACAATTGGTTCCGAACGTATAATATAATATTTTATGCTTTACGTCAATAGTTGGTTGCGTCTCGACCTAAACATGAATTTTGCTAATGCAACCAATCAGCTGTTCTTAATTTTAGTCATTTGTTTGCGCTGATTTCTCAAAACTTTTCAAAAATAAATCGCATTCTTTTACCACACAATGCGAACAAAGAATGAGTTCACGAAGATATTCTTCTTCTTCAAAAAAAAATTGTTTTGTGCGATTATAATTCGGCAATAACTTGATGATGTCTGACAGATTATTTCTGTAGTGATTTGAAGAGAGCGATTCGGTGTTCGAGTAGCAAAATGAAAGTAATGCACATCGTTGCGTTGTTATGTAAATTTGTTTTCGTGTGTTCGCTATTCGTATGTTGAAAAATGCCAGTGTGAATCACTGCAGTTTTTTACAATCACTGGAATTCTAATGTTCATGATGATGGCATTTGCGCTCCGAGATGAAAGGTAAACTTCCACAAGCGGATTATTTGTGAAGAGGTGAGATGAAAATGATAATCCTGTAAGGTTTTTTTTTTTGGGGGGGGGGTTCACATTATGCTTGGTGACGCAACCAGTCGATGCAACGTTTTCTTTGAAAAATTATTCGTTCAATGAGTTTAACTGGTGGCTGTTCGAGAATGGATGCAGAAGTATTTTGTTGAGTTTTTAGAGGATTTCGAGTAAACGATGAAGAGTGTATTCGAGTGGAGAGCATCACTCATAGAGAGGCAACAAAAGGCGATACTGGAAAATATGATTGACGGTTTTCATGTGGAGAAATTTCATGGGTGCGAGATGGAATGGAAAAATGTTTTGATGACGATTTTTCAGATAATCGTGCTTAATATGGATCATTCTGGTTATGTGGTTGATGCAGATAATGCAGATAAGTGCAAAGGGATTATTAGTCTGGTGGTAGCAATTGAAAATGTGTTGTTGTGATATATTACTGTTGTTGGGATTGTTTGGATAATTTTTCTGTGTCATCACAATTGCCAATGTGAATGTTTTATTTTGCATTATTTGATGAGTTTTCGAGGCAGCAGTCAGCATATTAGTGTAATTTGACGAGGAATTTGTTTGGTTGCGAGATTTTGACTGACTGGTGTCAGGAATGGGCCGAATATTCTGTCTGCAATTTTGTCTGCTATCAATCGACGATCTCCGAAACAACTCCGCATTATTGATTATCCATTTTGGTTTGTTTAGTGAATGGGGAAGGATGGTCCCACCATGCAATATGACATTTCAATATTGGCACTAGTAATTATCATTTTACAGAGACACATACCTGCCTGCCATTATTTGTTCACCGTTTTGGATGATTTATTTTCGCGTATTTACGCTGTCTCGATTGCGGTGGTTTTCAACATTTGCCCAGTTAGTTTTTGGATAAGCGTTAACCCACATGATTAAAATATTGAGCAGATGATATTATATTTTTCTGCCGATATCCACACACAAGACTTTAATTTGTCAAGGCGTTGATGGGAATTTCAGAAACGTTTTATTGATTTTAAATCAAACTTTTCACTGGATAGTTTGTAGAAATTGCGTGATAAATTCGATAATCCCTACTGTGCGATCAGTTTTTTGATATATATGACGACTATGACTGATAATTTGAAAGTGTTTCTGTTATGAATCTGCTTGCGCGATATATTTTGCGTGATTGAAAGTATGAATCAGTCGCAGTCTAAATCCCAAATCTTTGTTTCTAATTTAAAATTGAGGAGAATAACCGTGCTTGTGAACAACCATCATTCATAATCTCAAGCTTCATGGTCCGAAAGAAGACTATTCGTAAGCTATTTGATCTCATCAGATCATATCATACAAAATAGCAATGAACCGTTGATACTAACAATTTTTTCCAAGCTAAAAATTTCAGTGAGTTACCGAAACCGACTCCTGCTATTTCATCGTCTTCATGCGATCCTCATAAGAGAGGAAGAATTCCCGAGTGATTTCCGCTTGTCTGCATAATATTGTAGTGGTGTTTTCCGATCATTTTGTTAGTCTGCTCAAAATTATGACGAAATTGCACAAGTGAGATTGCCGGCCACTGCTCAAGTGATGTGCTTGGTTGAGAGTCGGAGAAATTTATTTACAATCGTCGATGTTATGCAATATCAACACGTATCGATTGTGAAATTGCTTTACAACAACTTTAGTTCGAACGTTTGAGCGTTGAATTCCATTTGTTAGCTGTTCGTTCGCTGTGTTTTCAAAGTAAATCGCATTCTCTTCAATCAATATTCTCCATTCTGCGTTCGTTCGGCAATAATATTTCGATATCTTTACACTTTTGGTTTTGAATTAAATGATTACAACGAACGATGTGATAATCATAGTACCGATAATATTAGTAGTAATAATAATAATAATGGCGATATTGATAGTGGCCTTATTAATGATGTGGATGATGATGCGATTGTCCTCTGATGCCCTTATTGTCGCGCACATTATGATGCACTTGATTCATTTGGTCGTTTCGTAATGTATGATCAAAATTGACAATCTGCAAGGAAGTATGATTGATTTAGTATCAAAAAGTGCTTTTCAGACATGAATAACCACTTCTGTGAAAAATTATTCGAGTATGTCATCGCAGTGGAGATGTTGAAGGACAGTCGTATCATATTCTATTGTACCTAAGTGAATTCATCGATTTCCAGCATTCGATATCAGAAAGAATATAGTTCATCGTAGAATATGTGAGAAGCAGCTGATAGATAGNCCATTGCGTTTTGCATTTGCTGGAGATATAAAAAATGTGTTCTGTTTTTGTGTAAAGACAATACTAAGGTGTGCTGATTTTGCGAATTGGATGACATGTTTATTGCAGCAATCATTGCGAAATTTTGGTTTGTTTAATGAAAAAATGGCGAAATTTATTGGTTGAATTTTGTGGAAAATACGAATAAATTATTAGTCAGTCAGCTGTAGTGTTCGTATTCCGTTGTCATCGTTGTGTTGTTTATGAGAATTATTAATTTCGCCGAGACTGCGACGAATATGAACCGGTTTTGGTATTTTATTATCCACTGGGACTGATTAATAATTCCAACTTCACACACAAATATTTCGAATCACATCCATCTCTTCGCGTCGACGTTTATTCGCTCATATTTCGAACGCTCCAAATGGATTTTTCAATCACTATTCACCAGTTATTTCATTCTATATTAAAGGGCAATTTTTTTTTGATTTTTAGGTATTTTTTATCAACTTCAATAAAATTTATGGACTTTGCATTCGTGAGGATTTCTATAGAAGAGGAGGAACTGCATTCATCACTCGCATTCAGTGATCAATTTCATTCTAGTGATTATGTCTATGGTTCATTTATTTTATATGTACTAAATAAAATGATATGATAATCAGCGTGGTGATTTTGAGAGAGTGTTGAGTATGATAAAGTGATACCGCAGAAAATGAGAATATAATATCATAATGAGAGTTTAAAGAGTTTTCACTTGGAGATAATTGTTTCACGGTGGCATGACTCGATCCGATCGGGTATTACAACAAATTACTGATGATAGTTGACATCATTCGCAGTAATATATATCATAGAATGTACAACATCCTTCAATAAATTTCATCTATTATTGTTATTATTATCGTTATTATTGTGCTACCAGTGAACATTTATTCATGGATTGCGTTGTAACGAGTTTCCAGTGAATAAATTTCCGTCAAGTGCAAAAGCTAATCTCTTCTATAGAAGGCAGAAGGCAGAGTGATCAACGTTAATGAGTCAAACAGTTGAGAAGGTGCGATCAAAAGAAGATGAAGAGGCGTTGGACAGGAAAATAGCCGAAATTCGGAAGAAGAACGAACAAATCGCACGTAGAAAAGAGGTTATTCTTGGCAAATGCTTATCGGATTTGGGATTTTTTACGAGATGATTCAATATGTGCACATAAAAAATTCATCACATTATCATCTGGAATAGAGAAGTATTCACAGCTCGTTCAACTGAATGAAACGCAGCATTGAGGGATTTTAAAGTGAATTTGTTGCGTTTGCTGTTTAGAAGTGTCACGATGATGACACGGAAACTGTGTCTTCTCGCTTTATGTAAATTTATTTTGTGCTATAGAAATTCCACAAAAATTCATAATCCATGAACAAAATTTAGTGTTAAACATAATTTAATGTCGCTAAGAGTAATTAGTTGCTTTTAGGAGGTTGACAAAGATCGTGAATTGTTCGTAGCCGAAATCGGAGAGTCTCTCAACTCACCACCTAAACAGCCAGAAAAGGTTTCTCACTATATTATGGTCACCATCCATTTAAAGAATTTGGAAAGGATGTTGGAGATTTATGAATAATTGGAATCA